GGGCCGGGACAGCAGCCCTTTTTAATCTTTGAGACAGGGTCTTGCTAAGTTGCCAAGTTGCCTGGGCTGGGCGTGAACCTTTGATCCTTCTGCCTCAGCCTCCCAAGAGCTGCGGTGACAGCCGTGCATCCCAGCCTCTCCTGATAAACGCTCCCTTGGCGCTGGGCTGACAGGAAGCACGGCTCAGCATAAGAAAGCTGGGAAATAGCTTCTCTCGAACAATCCTAATCCCTCACCACTGACCCAACACCGGGGGGTGCACACAGCCAATTTCCTGGAGCTCAGACCCGGGGTTCCCTCTCCCTGAGGTGAATGGCACAGCCCTCCCTAGCCTGGGCACTTGCCGGCACATCCTGGGGGCTCCTGCGACTCCCAGATTCCCTGTGGGTCTCCTGTCCCCATCCCGTGACAAGAGCTGCAGCCAGGACCCCCCAGAACTGCCTGTGGTACAGCCTGGTGCCGCTCAGAAAGTGGGGGACCGTGGGTACTGTGACCCTACATGGTCTCCCTGCAGAGCCCAGCCGGGTGGGACCGGCCTGGCCTGGTGTGCACCAGCCTTGGGGCCCAGTTCCCAGCACTGCAAAAAAGACCAAACAAAAAGAAATGTTCTCTCTCTGACCTGACACTTGGGTACGTGCAAATTCTTCCTTTCCTCCTGGGGACTGAACCCAGGGCACTCTACCATGGAGCTATGCTCCAATCCCTTTTTGCTTTAATGTTATAAACATTTTTATTTTTACGTTTTGGTTTTTTGAGACAGGATTTGCCTATGTAGCCCAGGCTGGCCTTGAATTCGCAGCAGTCCTCCTGCCTCAGCCTCCTGAGTGCTGAGGTTACAGGCGAGGGCCACCATGCCCGGGGACAGGGCGTTGGTCCAGCAAGTGTGAGACCCTGAGCTCAGTCCACAGCACTGGCAAAAGCCCTGAGACACCACAGAGCCACTGAGCTGGAGCCTGCACTTCAGAAACCCTGATGAGGGCTGAGTGGAGCTGGTAGCGCAGCGACCTCGCTGCGTGTGAGGTCGGCCGGGCTGACCGCTGCTCTGTTCGCCGTGTGCACCGGGAAGGCGGGCGCGTGTGAGTGGTGGAGCACGTGGCCTGCCTGGGCTCAGCAGAGCCGGGCTCGGTGACAGGAGCTCAGCCCCAAGCAGGCACTTGTAGCACAGGACTGTCAGGCCCCGGTCTGTACTCAGCGTTGACGGCACCATGGCGCTGACTTGCTTTCTCTGTTCTATTTCTTTGTTTTACATTTATTTTTTATGAGTTAGGGTTAGGGTTAGGAGGCCACATCCCTGTGCAGAGCTGGCCCATACGCACAACACGCCCAATTCCTCTCTCCTCCACTCTCCCTCCATTTTGCTAAATTGCCCAGGCTGGCCTTGAACTCATGGTCCTCCTGCCTCAGCCTCCCAAACAGCTGGGATCACAGGTGTGTGACACTACGCCCTGCCCCAAATCTTTCTCGTTTTTTTTTTTTGAGACAGGTCTCACTATGTAGTTCTGGCTAGCTTTGAACTCTGTCACCCAGGCCGGCCTCAAACTGGTGGTGATCCTCCTGCCTCAGCCTCCTCAGTGCTGGAATTATTGCTGTGCATCACCACACGGAGCTTCCAGATCCTTCTTAACGAGGACTCCGGCTACAGATAAAAGCCCTGTGCTGTTTCCAGCCACACTGTTACTCTCATAGCAGAAGGAAGTGAATGAAGTAGCTAACAACAGGGAATTGGTTCAGTAAATCAAAGCACAGCAGCAGGATGAGCTCGCAGGCGGCTGGGGAACACTTTATTTGAGAGGTGCGTGAGGCAGGGTGAGGAGCTCATGGTTCCATGGCCGGGCAGGAGAGGACAGGGGGGCACAAGGTCATCACCCTGAAGGGGGGACAGCCGCAGACCTCGCGGGGGACGATGGGCCCGAGCACACAGAACCTGCTGTCTCTGGGGAGGGGAGACTGGGCCCCTTTCTTTCCTTCTGTTTTTTTCCCCGGCTTTCTGAGCTTTGTACGCCGAGCACCCCACTCACCTTCAACGAGAAAATAGAAAAAACACATCTATATGGCTCTCCTTCTTGACCCGGCCCTCCAGGGCGTGGTCTCTGGGTGCTCTTCCATCCTGCCCCAGGAAGCCCCGGTGGGCCCCAGCGTGGACCCCTCAAGTGGGCGGTCTGGGGTTCCCTGGCTGGGGAAGAGATGGGCACTGGCCCAACCTCAAGATGGTTCTGGGGGTCCCGGTGGGGCTCAGCATCCCCCAAGGCCAGGTGCAGGGGTTCACAGACTCATCCTGGGGTGAAGTCAGGGCTCACCCCGTGCTGGTCTGAGGTCCCGGGAGGGCAGAGGGCGGGTGGGGGTTTGTCGGAGGGGAGACAGCGAGTGACTGCTGGGCCCTGCCCACCAGGTGAGGGTGCACAGCCGTGTCCTGGTCTCTTGGTCACGCGGGTACCGGGCATGATCCCAGCCCTCTGGGAGGCCGAGGCAGGAGGATTGTAAGTTCACGCCCAGCCTGAACAAAGTAGCAATTTAGGGAGACCCTGCCTCAAAGTAATAAAAGGGCCGGGGATGTCGCTCAGTGTGGGGGCCCCCGAGTCTGGGGAGGGCAGGTGCGGGCTGGAGAGAGCTTGAGCAAGGCCACCGCGCAACGCCCCTGAGTCTGCAGCTACACCGCGATGACCTCCGGGTTGGGGCAGCCCGGCTCCTCTGACGCCGTGCAAGGCACAGGGCCTTCCTCCCACCCTTGGGCCTGGAGAGACAAAACGCAGAGCTGAGGTGGCCGTGACGGTGGGGTCTCTGGGCCGCAGCTGTGCCCACCCTACTGTCCCCCAACTTCCGGCCTCTGTCAAGCCACGGGCGCAGGGACACAACTTCTCCCTGAGACCCCAGCTTCGACTCCTGCCTCTTCCACCTCTGGCTTTGTCTTAGGCTTCTCAAGGTCCATCTGGGGCTCCTGCAGCCCAGGGCTCATTCAGCAATTCCTAAGAGCCTGCAATCCCAGCCCTCGGGAGGCTGAGGCAGGAAGATCACCATGAGTTCAAGGCCAGCCTGAACTACACAGAGAGACCTTGTCTCAAAAAACCAAAAAAATTTTTTTCTGGATAAAGAGGAGAGGTCAAGAGCCCTGTCCTGGGGTGAACAGGCTCTGGGGGGTGGAGGGGGGGGGGCGGTCCCTGCCTCCTCGTCTGATGGAGCCAGCCTTCTCCCACCTGGCTCAGGCAGCTGATCTCCACAATGGAGCCCGGGGAGGAGCTGGCAAGGGGCTTGGGGTGTCGGGAGGGGTGGCCATGGCGTCCCCGGGCGCCCAGCTGTCGCCAGTGGCTGCAAGGGAGGCAGAGTCAGGACGGTGGGAGGCTGATCGGGGGCTGGCCACAGCCAGCAGCGGGGTGGGCCGGGCGAGGGGCTCGGGCACAGAGGTGACTCCTCACGGGGTCCTGGCCGGGAGGCTCTGCAGTGGCCACCCTGGCCCTGTTCCTCCACCGGGGTGGCTTCTCCCTTGCTCCCCGACCACCTTTGGCCTCACCCGCGGCTTCCTGAGACAGCAGCGGCTTCCTGAGATAGCAGCTACTTCCTGCACCGAGGGAGCCACGTTCCCACCGCCCTCCCTGGGAGCCCAGGGATTCTTTTGTCCTTGTTGGCGCCAGGAAAGAAGGGGATGGCAGCCCCCCTTTCCTGCCGGGGCTCAGGGGGTCTGGGGCGTGAGGCAGGTGCGGCCCCAGCTTCCTGCCCTGACGCTGCGCCCCCTTCTGGTGCAGGGGCGGCCGGGAGCCCATCCTGGGAGCTGGGCCCAGGTCCCTGACGCCAGGCACCACCCTCACCTGGGTCTCAGGGCCGAGGGGGCTCAGGCGCCCGCAAAGAGGAGAAGCAGGCCCCCCCCACCTGCCTGCGTGGGCGCCTGCACTGTGGGCCTCAGTGCCTCCTTTTGCAAAAGCACAGACTCCAGTGGTCACATACGTCCCTGGCACCAGCCCTGGAGGGGTCAGCCGGGGCCAGTCTGGTCCCTGAGGGCTTCCTTCCTTCCTTCTTCCAGCTCACCTTTCTCTCTTTTTTGCAGTACTGGGGACTGAGTCCAGGGCCTTTGCACTAAGTTCCATCCCCAGCCCTTTCTATTTTTTATTTTGAGACAGGGTCTCCCTGAGTGATTAAGGTGTCCAGGCTGGGCTTGAACTTGGGGCCCTCCTGCTTCAGTCTCCCAGAGTGCTGGGGTGACAGTTGTGCACTCCATGCCTGGCTGGGAGAGGGCATTCTAGGTCAGCTCCCTGACGGCCAGGTTTGCAGAGAACCAAGAGGAGGGCTGGAGCAGAAGACCTTGAAGCTCCGTCTTTGCTTCTATAAGGGATGAGAAGAGGGTGCCAGGCCCAGGGGAGTCGCCCCTCTGTGTGCCCCATGCGGTGGCTATCGGGTGACTGGCACCCGCCTCAGGGCTCACGGGTGCTTCCAGGTGGGAACAAGCCCCGCCTCTGGAAGACAGGCAGGGCCAGGAGAGGACAGAGGCGCTGGGACCTGAGTGGGGGTCCTTACCGCTGCCGAGAAGTGGACCTTCTCACCCCGTGGTGTCCCTGAGGCCAGCAGAGCTGAAAGAAACCGAAGAGGGTGTGGGTGAAGCCAAGCAGCTGCCTAGTGTGGTCATCACCCGGGCAGCAGGGCTTAGCCTGGGGACCTCACGTGCTGCCACGGTCACAGTGCCCCTCCGAGGACCACAGACCAAGGCCTGGTGCCCGCTCCCTGCCACTGGGAGGGGAGCACTCTCTGGGGGGGCCTCGTGGGGCCTGGGGTCACCAGAGTCCTTGAAAGGAGCAGGGACGGCTGCCCAGAGGCAAGGGGCTTTCCATGGCCCAAAGGGACAGGGCTGGAGCCTCCTAGGCTGTGAGCCAGGGAAGCCTGTTTGGTCAGTTACCAAGAATTTGCTATAAGAACAAAAAGCTGAGGTTGCACAAGGACGCTGGACATTTTCTTAAAATGCAGCTTGCAATCCAGTGGGCTGCATTTCATATATTTTGTTTTCCTTGAACTTGCAATCCTCCTGCCTCAGCCTCCTGTACTAGAATTATAGGTGTGAGATGCTGTGTGTCTAACAGGATGAGAGGACACCTCTGAGGCTGTGGGGACCAGGGTCTGAAGGGCGAGGTGCTTGTGGCTTTCGGACTGTGAGCAGGAAGGCGGTGGCCCTGTCCCCTCCGACTCCTCTGAGGGACTGGGGGGCATGGGGAGAGCTGACATTTTTCCCTGGGGTACTTCATGGGGATGCCACCTTCCCCTCTATTCCTTCAGAGCTCTGCAAACCCAGGGTAAGCGGCCGAGCTGCTCTGTGCCTCAGTCTCCTCTCTGGAGGGTTTGAGAAGCATCAGCCCTAGAACTGTGCCTGGGCCCCAGCAGCTCTGGTCACCCCGACTTCACTCATCCTCTTGGGCTGTGCCCGCCAGCTCAGGAGCTACCACAGCCAGCATGCACCAGAATGAGGCTTCTCCAAGTCACACTGGTTCTGGCCCAGCGGGAAGGAGGAAGCGTAGGCCGCAGATTGACCCAAGAGACACAGTCTCACTGTGTTGCCCAGGCTGGGCTCAAACTCTGAGGCTCATGTGATCATCCTGCCTCAGCCTCCCAAGAAGCTGGGACTACGGGTCTGTACTTCCAGGCCTGGCTTTCATTAATAATTTCCTATTAGTCAGGCATGATGGGAAATGCCTATAATCCAACACTCTAGGTGGCTGAGGCAGGAGAACTGCAAGTTCAAGCCCACTCTGGGCAATGTGCTGACTTATTGAAACTGTATGTGGAAATAAAAAATAAAAGAGGCCTGGAGCTACAACTCCGGTGAGCTAAAACTCACCCCCAAATCTCATATTGACTCCCTGTTGAGTTGATAATGGTTTGGACATGCTGAGTTAAATAGACTGTCTTGTTAAAATTTAGTAGCTTTTAAAAATGTGGCATCTGGGCCAGGGATATAGCTCAGTGGCACAAGTGCCTGCTTGGCAAGCTCAAAGTCCTAAGTTTGATTCTAGGTACCAAAAAAAAAAAAAAAAAAAAAAAAAAGACTACTAGATTTTTTTTTTTGAGACGGGGTCTCACTATGTGGCCCAGGCTGGCCTCAAACACATAGTGATCCTTCTTACAGGCATGCGCCACCACGCCTGGCTAGATTTTAAATGACATATGTGGCTTGTTCCCATTCGGGGAAACTGAGGCTCGAGGTGGTCAAAGCACAGAGCCTGGGAAGAGGCCTGGTGCCTTGTAGACTCCAGGGTGGGCACTGAGCTCACCCTGTGCCCCAGCTGGGCCCTGCACACGGAGCTGGACCTGTGGAGAGGACAGGGCTTTGCCAGGGTCAGGGGGACGTGGCCAGCCGCTTGGACGGACATGTGGGCTGAGGTTGAGGCCCCACGTGCGGGTGTCTGCCCCAGCCAGGAGCTGCGGGGCCCTTGGAGGGGAGCAGCCAGGCTTGGGCCGCTGTGCCTGGGGACACACCGGGCCCCGGGTCCTTGGGGGGGCTCCCTCCCGCCCACTGCCAGGCCCCACTCACCTGACCTCCGGCCCCGGAGCACATGGGCACCCAGGGAGATGACACCTGTAGCCAGCAGGAGGGACAGGAGCACCAGGACTGGGGCCAGCTGGCGGGCCGTGGGGATGTACATGCTGGGGACGAGAGGGGGCCGGAGGCCGTCACAGGGAAGCATCTGTGTCCCGGGCCAGAAAGCCAGTGGCCAGAGTGGGCACTGCGTGTGGCTGAGATGGCAGAGACCCTAGTCCCACTGCTGTCTGCACTGTGGACTGGGCAGGGGGCCTATGTGGGGTGCTGAGCCCTGCTGCGGGGCAGCTGTGTGAGGACCCCGGGGCGATGGTACGGCCCCTAGCGGTCCCTGTGTCACCAGGCGGGAGTGGCTTCATTCACACCGGGAAACTGCCGTGGAGGCCCTCACACGGTGGGACGCAGAGACGCAGTCACCAGCTCGGGCACAGGAGGTGCACAAGCTCTGAGTCCCTGTCCCCCCAGAAGGTCAGAGGGCACGGGGACCCTAGCGTCCACCCAGCCAAGCCATGGGCGCCCAGTCCCAGGCAGGGGACCCCAGCACACGTTGCTAGTAGCCACCTGAGCCCTGAGACCGCCTAAGCCCCTCTTCCAGGCCGGGGCTGCAGGTGGGGAAGGAAATGAATACTGACAGGTGCCGGGTTTCCCTTTCTGTTTTTTTTTTTTGGAAACAGGGTCTCGGTGTGCAGTTCAGGATGGCCTTGAGCCCACTATGGAGCCCAGGCTGGTCTCAAACTCACAGCAATCCTCCTGCCTCAGCCTCCCAAGTGCTGGGATTACAGGGACGCACCACCACGACCGGCACAGGTTTCCGTATTATTATATCCGGCGAGGCACTGATGCAACACATGCAGGCAAATATCACTGAACCGAGGTGGCTGCACCTGAGGTCAGGCAGGGATGGGGGTGGGGAAGGGGCAGGCTTGGACCTTTCACCTTGAGCAGGCCATGTCCAGGCCAGTGGGGCTGCTGGCTCCTGTGGTTCAGGATGTGCACTGTTCAAGAGCCCATCTACAGCGGCATGGGGGCTGAGATGTGCCCCAAGTCCAGGGGGTCAGGCCCACGCAGGAGGAGTGGCTTAGGGATGGCCTGAGGGTCGCCTGGGCTCACCTGGGCATGGAACTGAGGCTGCTGGAGACAGGATCAGGGTCCCCCGGGGCGGTGGCAGAGAAGTCAGGCACCACGGCTGGGCGGGAGCTCCCTGCAGGAGGAGACGCGGCCGCAGCGTGAGGAGAGGTGGCCGTGTGGCTCGAGGTGGCCGTGTGGCGTGAAGTGGCCGTCTCTGTGTGTGGCAAGGCCTCCACCCCACCGTGCCCCTGCTGGGGGGCGGCGACTGTCGGATGCCGGTCAGGAGAAGCTACGGGTCCGAAAGCCATGGCTTAGCACCCCTGAGCTGGACTGACCCTTGACCCCTGAACTCTGGCCTCAGGGACCAATGTCTCGGAAGGTCCTGGGCCGAGAGCCACCTTGCAGGCAGGGTCAGGTGGTGCCATCAAGAGGCAACCAGCAGACGTTGGGCACAAAATATGCAGTTCTCACCCAGGCCTGGGAGGGGGCGGGCATGGCCCTGTCCCTCCAACCTGCTCCAGTGCCGCTGAGAGTCACCCAGAGGCCTGGCCGCCTGGCACTGCCCTCTCACAGGAAGGGTGCTGTCCACAGCGCTGCCTCAGAGTCCCCTGCGCCCCAGCGAGCGCTGGGGACAGCTGTGGCCACCTCCGGGCCGCTCCTCCCGTGGCCTCGCACAAGTGAGCACAGCCCCGAGCGGACATCTGGGTTGGGGCGGTACCGATAAACTGCGGGGCCTGGCGCCAGGCGGCGCCTCCCGTCGGGGACAGAAAGCTCCACTCACTCGGTGCCGGGGCTTGCGGGGGCTGGGCTCCCGCCCTGGGCCGAAGGCTGGCGGTGGCGGCCAGAGGGGGCCGGAAGGAGGGGGCGGGGGAGGGCGGGCAGCAGGCCCTGGTGGTTGCCCCGGGTCTCTCTGCTCCTGGAGGAAAGGGGAGGCCGGCCTCAGTCTCCCTGTCAGCCGGCTCCTTCCACCCCCAGGGGTCTTGCTCCTAGATAAACACCGGGCCGGCCCTCCCTGCACCAGGACATCGGCAGCTCCCACGTTGGGGCAGGCCCGCCTCAATGCCAGCTGGGTCACCGCTGCCCCGAGCGCCAGCCACACAGCCACCACCCAACTGGCTTTCGGGTCTCCTGCCTTCCGCCCCACGCCGTGCCGTTCCGCTGGCCGGCGCCTTCCTCTCAGTTCTGCCAGTTTCAGCACCAGCCCGAAGCGCAGCCCTTCTGTGGAGGTGCAAACCCCTCCCTGTGCCCCACAGAACCGCACACGCCCCACAGGGCTGACACGCCCAGGGCCACATGCCTGTCCCCTGTGCTCATGGAAGGCGCCGCTCCCGCCCCCCCGCCCCCCAGTCCCTTCTGACCACGGCCGGAGCCTGGCCCGTCCTGGTCTTTCTCTGGTCTAACACAAGGCTGCATTGGCCTGACTTTGTCTACGCAGACGAGGGAATGTTTACAATGCTGCCTTTTCCAGGCACTGGTGCGGCTGGCGTGCTCGTCCTGCTCGACCTCTAGAAATCCTCCTGCCACTTTGCCAGACCCCGGCTGAGCTGCGGGCAGCTCTCGTGGACTGGTGGAGCTCACATCGATGCTGGTGGATTTGGGAACTGGTTTTCAAACCTCTGGTGGACAGGATCCAGCAACGCCACAGAACCAGCCAACGTCAGACTCAGAGCGCCCCTCGCCCACTGCCAAGGGAGCCAGTGCCAGCCGTCTGCAGCCTCCCAGCTGTCACCAGAGGCCAACGAGGTGTGACTGGGAGGTCACACGACCGTGTGCATGGCAAACGGGTCCAGAGCAAAATGGGGAACCCCAGAAACAGGCAGAATTGGTCACAACTAGGCAGAAACCACGACTGAACCCCATAAGAATTGGCAGAGACTGGAAAATGCTGAGAAAGCGGAGGCTGCACTGAATGTGGGTCTCATTTTCCCTTCGGCGGCTCTGGGCGTGGAGGTCAGGCTGTGCCTGAGGTTCCTCAGGGAGTTTAACTCCAGTTCCCGGAATGAAAACAAGGCCTCATGGAGGACACAGGCCTGGCGCTGAGGGTGGGTGGGCCAGGGATGGGGGTTACCCACCCGACGAGAAGAGGAAGAAAACCAGTGCCAGCAACGGCCTGTGGGCAAATCCCGGCTGTCACTTCCTGCCATGGGACCCTGGGCAAATCAGTCTCCTGCACCTCAGTTTCCCATCTGCGAGGCAGGCTCTGAGCTCAGGCGGAGCTGTTGCCACCCTAGACCCTCTCTGGCTTCTTCTGTGGGCTCAGCGGGTCTGGATGGGCTCCTAGGCCCCCGGGAGCCCCATGTTCCTGGCCCTGGGCTTCACGATCGGGCAGAGGCAGCCAGGGTGAAGCCACAGTGGCCAGGGCCGAGGTGACACTGGCGGGCCCGGCCTCGGGCAGCCGCAGGAGCCTCCCTGACTCCACGTGGCCCCTACTCTCTGGGACGCCTGTCTTGACCCCAAGATCTGGCTCGCTGCCTTAGGCAAACCTGGACATGGGCTGGCAGCCTGCCTGGCCTCTGCCAGCCCACGCCCTGCAAGGGCTCATGGGCACTATCTGTGCCCCAATGCTGCCCAGCAGGGCCCCGGTGACTGCACGAACCCCGAGGGGCCCCGTGAGGCTGGCACCAGCAAGGCCTCTGCTGGAGCAGCCACCCTGCCTCCATCCTCCGGCCTGGCGGCCCCTCCTGCTGGCAGGGCAAGGGCATGTTGGTTACCTGGGAAGACCTTCAGGGAGACCGGGAAGGCATAGCCCAGGCCCACGTTGGAGGCCCCGCACCAGTACTTCCCGGAGTCGGCTAGCGTGAGGTCCCTGAGGGTCACCGTGAGCACCAGCTCCTGGGGGCTGTCCCGGATGGACACGCGGCCCTGCCTGGCCTCCTGCCCGTTCTCTCCCACGGAGATTTTTCTGGAGCAGCGGGAGATGATGAGCCCGCCCTCCCTGCACCAGTACTTGGAGCGCGTCCGGAGCTCCTCCCCGTAGGTGCAGCGCACGGTCAGGGTGTCGCCCTCGAACCCGCTCATCTCCTTCGGGCAGGTCAGGGAGGCAGACGCTGAAACACAGCCGGAGCGAGGCCAGGGTCAAGGCGGGGAGGGGAGGCTTCCCCGCGGCAGCCGCGACGGCCCCGGACCCTCCCCACGAGGGCACCGGTGACCGTGCAGCCCGCTGCAGCGTCCGCGCAAAGGCAGGGCGGGCTGGGCAGGGCCCCGCGGGGC